CAAGTAAACTTTTTCTACATTTCATATATATATATATATATATATATATTAGGAAAATCTACGACAAAGTGGAAAATCTTTTAACTTTTAATTTTTTATATATAATATCTGGGTATCTAGTCTAGCCGATTTAATTTAGTTTCTTTTCCTTGTATTTCTTTCATTCCTTTTTTTATTAAGTATCACACATTGTGATAATGCATAATCTCCCAAGAAAGGAGAAATGTCGTAAGAACCATGACGTAAATTTACTTTGTATGATCTAGCAATTAAAGCACTTTCTATACATTTTCGTCCTCATAAATTGCTTTCTCTCTTAATTAAAGTAGCATTGTTTAATCAAAATTACGGTGATCAACTAATGCATTGAGTATGTTATTTTGCAAGAGCTCCGTTTTGTGTTCATATAATCTTTTCTTAAATTCCTTAAGTTTCACCGATGTATTCTTTGTAGCAATTATTACATGTGATAGATTAAATTCCTCTTTCATGTTTTTGCCTATTATTACTTTACTTTGTATTAATTATTTTATTGTTTTAGAGGTAGTTATTTCAAATTTTCTGTTAAGCTTAGATAAATTATTTTCAATTGCAGTTGGGATAGAGACCGTGGGTTTGACTCATTGGGTTCATTACTTTTTTGTTTCCAATTTGTTACAGATCTTTATAAAATTGTTCTGATATATAAAAATGTGTGTATTTTTTCATATATATATATATATATATACATGAGGTCTGCCTGAAAAGTAACGGGATTGGGTGTGCTGTGAAAGATAAGCTGATTGCGTTATCATGTAACATGATATCTTCGGAGTATGTAACTGTAAATTTAGTTTTCTGCAACCATTGCATTTTTTTCACATGCCAGAGTTGTCACGGCGATAATGCATAGTCCCACAACGCCCTGAGCATCCGGCAGTCCCTGGTCGAAAAGTACATCGCCGTACTGGAACAACCTCCCTATTCACCTGAGCTCCTTGTGATTTTTTTCTTTTCCTCATAACTCAAAGGGGTCATCAAGGGTACGCATTTTGAAAGCGTGAAGGCTAGCAAGAAGGCCGTAACGACGGATCTGAGGGGCATCCAAGAAGAATCCTTCCAGCAGTGCATAAAAGCGTGGCAGAAAAGTATGGAATAGTATATTAGACTCGTGGGGGATTACTTGGAAGGGGAAACCATGTAGTTTGTTTCTTGAAATTGAAAAGAAATTGTGATATCAGTCAGACAGACTTCGTATATAATTTTGTATTTGGGCAGCAATCCTTCTTTTATACAAGTTTTATTAAAGACAACTGATAAGGGACTGCGATTAAGCATTTTTATTTACTTTTTCTTATGTTCGTATAAACGTTTCTTTTCTGGATATAAATTTTGTAAAAATTGTATAAATATTCTGTATATACGACCACTTTCAACTACTCTTTTAGCCATTATTGAGGATGATTTTCATTTTTTATTTTTAACTGGATGTATGGATTTTTATGTATGTATCTACAGTTATAGGCATGTTTTATATTCCAAACACGGCCAGTATATTGTAGCCGTGTTCTTAGTTGATGTTATTGAGTGTTGGTTTTTTTCTTTTTTATTATTAGTGCTTCCAATTTTTTAGTCTTTTTTACATGTGGATGAGGCTATTATACTTGTATTTTCTACGGGTATGTTGCGGATGGAGTTTAATAGATTTCCGTGTGTGTTTAAATCGATCCTAATTGAGAGAGGTGTAACGTGAGTCTTCTCGATAGGCATGTAGTGGTATGTCCAATATAATTATTCATTAGTCTGGCTTGATCAGGAACGCATTTCCTGAAAGGGAATGTGAATTCATAAATAATATTGGTACACCGTAATTTAAATCTCGCAGGTGTGTTGTTACCGTTGATGATAAGGTTAGCTGTTTCAATTTTTTTATAGTAGATAATTTAATTTTCTTGTTCTGGTCGACTGGGTTGTGTATTTCTTTATAATGCTTTTAAGAGTAAATTCTTCTTGCTTATAATTCACGTGTATTTAGGTTTTATAGAAAATTTTAATCTGTATGTTCAGTATTGACATTAGTTACAAATTGGCTAATCTGGTGATCGATGAGGTAGTTCAGAAAACCGTTGTTAATTAGAATCTTTTTCACAATATTGAGTTCTTTAAGGAAAAGGGGACAACAGGATGAATTCTCGTGCGCTCTATTGAAAAATTTTTATAACGACTAAGAGGGCATTCACTCATAAAATTAAGGTCGCAAGATTTTCTACGAGTGATTTTTTTGTATAACGAAGTAGTGAATGTGTTACTACTGAATTCTACGAGAACGTTTAAGAATGGGAGTTTATTTTCTTAACTGAGTTCATAGCTTAAGTTATATATATATATATATATATATATATATATATATATATATATATATATATATATATATATATATATATATATATATATATATATATATATATATTGTGTGTGTGTGTGTGTGTGTATGTGTGGGTGTTTGTGTACACAAAGGAGTTGCTAATATTCTGTGGAATCTTTAGTTTAATATCATTCCTGTATTTATTCAGTCAGCTCGTATAGTGTCGCTGGAGTTATGAGAAACTATGGAATTTAAGCCGAAATGTTTCTGGGTGCGTTAGTTGGTAAACTTTCTCGTACTGCTCACGTACCATTTAGCGACCAGTTTTGGGTGGAAACTTTTGCAAGTATTCTAAACATTGGAAAACTATAGTCTCTAAAAATAGCAATAAATATACATTGAAGCGTAAAAATACCACCTGCTTAATAAAATATCCGGTTTTCTATGTGTCCGAAAAACAGATATGGGATATATATATATATATATATATATATATATATATATAGCTACACTGATGAACTGTGATACAGCGAAACAGTCTGTCTGTGGATGACAATATATATATATATATATATATATATATATATATATATATATATATATATATATATATTCGTTATAGATGAAAATATTTTAGCCTCATATTTCGATCAGGATGCTCGATTAGAATTTATTCAAAACAGAGTGGTGTTCAGGAGACCAAATACGTTATTTGGGTCGCTTAATGCACTTCAGGGGGTGGGGGGTTATAGTTAATACCGGATACTTTATGCGTACCCCCCACCCAAAAAAAAAGAATGATTTTAAGGGAGAATGAAGCATATTTTACATTATTTTTGCTAGGCTCATGTTTATGATGTAAAATTAATGTTTTACGTTAAAATGGTTGTTTTATAAGTGTTTTTGATCATTTTATATCGAGATTAATTCCATTACTTTCAAGTCCGTTAGTTATGATGTTTATAGATAATATAACGAAGCTAATTTTGATATTCTCGTTTATACGTTATGTATTTTATTTGTTTTTTTCTTGTATTGTGAATTCTGTATGCTTTTCTTCGAGCATTATTTTTTTTTTTAAATAACCTGCATAAAGGAACATTTTCAAAATACTTTCACTATGTTTTTCCTCATGAGATAGATATTCCAGACTTCAAATTGTAAAACATAATTATTCCAAATTCTATATTATTGTTTTAATGTATGCGAAAATTTATGTGGTTGTTTTTTTGTTTTTTTGTTTTTTTTTGGGGGGGTGCTTTGTTTTTTCCTCACTTCCACAACTTCCTTTTTATCGTACATCTTCTATGTTTTAATTTAAATTAAATCTGCTTTAAGCCCGAAGGGCGCGAGCGAAACCGGTTGATACGCCTGTTTTTTTTTGTTTTGTTTTTTTGTTTTTTTTAATATGTCTAGTAATATTAAGTTTTACACTTTTATTTCTGTCATATATATATATATATATATATATATATATATATATATATATATATATATATATATTTCTGTTTTATATATAAATATATATATATATATATAATTTCTGTTTTTGGCTTTTATAGAAAATGTTAATGTTATTGTTTTTCAGTATTGGCATTAGTTAGTTTATAAAGAAATTTTCGATACTTGATTTTGAACTGGTATTATTTCAAATGAATTATTATTTATTCTTGAATGTAAAAATATCGTTTGTAAGAAATGGATAAATTTGTATGATTTTTTTAATCGGTAAGGAGGGTTTTGTTGCCTTTGTTTTGTCTTTTGTAAATATTATATATTGCTCTAAATAACTTTCGACTTTACACCACCCGCCTTTGTCCCTATTCTGTCATACGTTTACTCAAACATATATAGTTTACTAGCGTTTTTCGCTTTCACTTGCTTTCGATATGTCTTTTGTAAATATTATATGTCATTGTAAATCTGGCTTATTGTGGACAAATTTGTACTCGAATTGTCGTTACTAGTTTGCATGACATTTAATTCTTTATCGTCTACGATCGTTTATGTATGCACAGGTGATGTAATGTATAGCGGCTCAGAATGAAAAATGGCAGCGTTGAGTTTCAGTCGAGCTCGCTACATTGTTATACACTTAAATGACTATGGGAAAGGAATGAATCTATCTTCTCTACCCATTGTAACCTGGTTCGAATTTAACCAGTGTCTATTTGTCTTGTGACCTGATAATATCATCCTGGCGAACTGATTCCAGCGTGTGGCACCGTTGGAAAGTGCCTGAAAACCATACCTTGTGTTGACACAAGCTTGTGTGTGAAATTAGGTAGAGAAAACTTTTCGTCGATGGCTATGCTAGCACGAACTCAAAAGTTATTGTGACCGAGCGTCTAAGCGTACTGGCATTATTCAAACTGGTAATCCTGCCAGGTTTTCTCGGCACAGGTGTTGTTATTCCTTAGTTTGGCACAAGGCTACAACTAAGGAGCTCTCAATGAGGATAGAGCTTTCTAATCATTAGTAATGGACAAATAACTTTCAACTCAATTTTTAGGTTTGTAGCCATCTTAAAAATGTGTAATATTGTTTATACTTGTATCTGGAACAAATCATTTTCTGAAAAAAGTTGTTAGTGTAAAAGAAATTGTTAGTGTAATACTTGCACGCAAAATAAATTATTCACACAATGCAATGCTTCTGGCCACATCATGTTCAAACACCGGTTCCCGTACGATCACCGAAGTTAAGAAACAATTAGCCTGGTCAGTACCTAGATGAGTGACCGCTTGGGGATACCAGGTGCTGTAAGCTTGGATGTGCCCGTGGTCTAATGGATGGCGGCTCGGAATTGGAAAACGGAGAGCCGAGTTCCAATTCCAGTTGGGTTCGTTATATTCACAAATATATCTACTCTCCCAACTTAATTAGTAAGACTTGTAACACGAAATCATTATTATCTCCAAAAACTTCTTATAATGTAAAAATTATTTTCTGGATTTAAATAACCTGAAAAGGTCGATAAACGAATCAAACACACTATCAACAATCCAAAATATGTTTCGATTTTTAATAACACACAAGGGGTTGATAAGCCGTAAAAAATCAATACTGTGTCCAAGTGGGTGATACCATTTTCTCAGTTTAACCCACTTACCAAAATCTAACCAAATCAAGAAAAGAAGCATCAGATTTTTTATGGGTTTCTTCGTATTCTAAAGCTGTTTGTTCTTTTTACTGCTCTTGGTATTAAGACCCCAGTAATGCTTTCTTTTCTAGCCTATGGTAATGGTTAATGAATCAGTTTGCTTTACTATTACCACTGAATAGTGAGTTCGATCCTCACAATGATCTCCATTCAAAAATTTGTAAATGGTCCCTTAAAGTAAGTAAGAAATGTCTGGCTACTTGTTTCCGTACCTTTGTGCTCAGATACGTTTGTGTTTCTTTCACACCCACGGAGCCAACCTGTGGTTTATGCCAGTGATTCTCACCGTGGTCCCTTAGGCCCAAAAGTGGGCCTGAGAAATATTTTAAACTAAATTCAAAGCCGCCCTATCGGGCAGCATTTAAGCTAAATCCTCCGGAGAACTCTTGATTAGGTCTTCATGACAATGTGTAGGGACGGGTAGATGCGATAGGCAACAATAGATTATAGAACTCAAAATTGATCGCTGCATTTGCATTAATATTTAAGCTTATCTTTTAAAAGTTCAATGATAATTCTACTGCCGCCACTTAATTTAAAGACAATGTACATAGGTCCTTACTTTCCATAGAAACAATTATTTTTATTTCATGGGTGACTTTCGCTGGATTTCACAATTAATTTCAATTATTCCTAAATTTATTTCCAAGTTATAAAAACTGTTATCGTACAAAAAAAGTTCGTCGCAAAAAATTACGTAAAAATCGCCGAAAACAATCACAGTTATAACTTGGTAATCCAAAATTTAAGGATTGCACGTCCGGATCTGGCCGGAAATTTTTTTAATTTGCTCTCAGGCCTAATTTCAAAATGTTATGATATTTTATGCTACGACCTCTAGGAGTAAAGCTGTAAACGCGGATAATTTTATTTTGAAACACTGTAATTTGAGAATAGTATTTTTTTCATTTGGACATGAGCTATTGAAAGTTAGGGAGTTGTGGCCCTTTAATTGTTTTTATCAGTAGCAGTCAAGATGGCGGAATCCGAAAAAAAATCACAGTAATGAAAACTAGCGAATCCAAAATTTCAGGATTGCGGGTTCGGATCCGGCCCGGGATGTTTTTAATTTACTCACAGAGTTGGACTAATTCCAAAATGGTATGGTATGTTGGGCTATGGCCTCTATAAGTAAAGTTGAAAAAGTGTGACACACTGACATTCGCATTTATTATATTCATAAGCCTGGAGACACCAAAAGTAGGGTAGTCATTCATTAGGATTTATATTTTCTACTACATTCTGCTTTTGTATTGAGGAATCGGAGAGCCGAGTTCGAATTCCAGTTAAATCCATTACATTCACTTACGTTTTAATACCCTTGGGAAAAGTATGAATCCTCTTCTTCTCTCCTTAGCTATGGGTAAATAGCAGGACAGCCTTGGATGGAAACTGGTCTACCGCAGAAAGAAATGGCAACCTACTGCGGGAAAAAATCTGCCTCGTCAGTCATGTATCGAAAGATACGTGATCGCCTAAACGTGTATCACGCATGGCACATAACTGAGTGAACAAATATATATTTATTTTTAATTCCGTTCTACAAACAGTGTAAACATAGTGATGTGAATCATCATGGCGACTGCTAACTTCATCAGTTTTTATTCGTATCGAATCTTCTTCTATGTGTCATGTCCCTTCAGGACGTTGGTAATCATGGCTCTCCACAATTTCCTTTCCTTTGCAGCTCGTAGTAAATTTTGTTTTTTATTATCTCTCCTAAACCTTTTCCTACCAACCATTTACACAGCTCTTTTTTCCCATCATGTAAATGAATGTAATGGATTTGACTTGAATTCGAAATCTTCTCTCTGCTTCCTTAATCCAAGCCGCTATTCATTAATCCACCTTGGTACGAATCTTGTTCTTCTCCCTCTAGCTATTGGTAAATAGCAGGACAGACTGGGTTCTTCGATGGCAGCTGGTCTACCACAGAAAGAAATGGCAACCTACTGCGGGTAAAAATCTGCATCGTCAGTCATGTATTGAAAGATACATGATTGCCTAAGCGCGTACCGCGCATGGCACATAACTGACTGAAATATTTGTGCTTATGTTAGCCTGATTTTTTTTTTTTCTGACACCAAACATGGGTCAGAAGGAAGAAACAGGTTGAAACTACAACTCTGCTGACGATATTCAGTCACTCCCCCCACGAGGGTGTCATGTGGCACAAGGCCTTTTTAACGTGGGCATTCCGAGCCCGTGGGCTCGGCCAAATATATGCCCATTGAACCCGTATAAACGGATTCAGGGCCGGTTTTACCTCCCCGTAGGAGACTCCGCCCTTCGGCGTAGCCTCCTTCGACTTCCTCCCGTCCGTAGGAAGAGAGTTTAACCGAACAGTCGCTCCGAAAGTACTGGGTCGAAATCAACTCTGCTGACTGGACCGTAGTTACATTATCTGGGACAGCGCGCATTTTGGAGCATGATTACTAGTTTCAACAGGGCCTGTACGCTCAAACTCTCGATTTTGGACGAGCCCAACTATCAGCGAAAAGTTTCAGTCTCAAGGCTGGGATCAACCTGTGGTATGCTTTTCAGGCAATTTTCAAACGCAAATTGCAAGCTGGGATCGACTCCCCAGGACGATAGAATCTGACAAATCGATCATGGTGAGATTGAACGCGGGTCTCATAGTCAGAAAGCGAACTTTCTAACCACTCGACCCCCATAACCACGTATTAACTCACTTTTTTTACAGTGATATTCCCTCCGTGCAAGACCCAGGAGCCACTCGAGGTAGAGGGTTACAAATTAAGAGACAGTTTATGCGGAAATATCGGTAAGATAACGGTTAGCTCTAGACTTGAAGAATTTAGGATTGTAGTGACCGGGAAAACATCTTCTTGGGAGTCGGTTCAACAGAGTAGTTCTCGGGAAGAAGATGCTCAAGTGGAACTTACCTCTCACCATTGGAATACGAAGTAGTACAGCGGGTTCTAGATATGGAGGCTAGAACTGTTGGAACTAAAAAATGTAGTTCGTCTGAGCACTTTCTTTGACAGTAGCGATGGAGCTGAAAGAGGCTTGCGACATCTTGTTCATGTGATCCGGATTGCAGAATGGACACATTCAAGGATGTTGGGACGCTTTTAGACTCTATCAAGTCTGTAAAGTGGGGAATGGACAGGCTCTGCCCAAATATGACAGAAGTACTCCATTTTAGGCCTGATCTGACTCTTGTAAAGGTAGATCTAGCAAAAGGAGTCACGTGCTTATTAGACTGCTACATTAGAACCGACCATTTTTCCTGCATCTTTTTGCGATGGACCGTATGTATGAGTTCCACTTAAGGTCTGGGTTGAGGCCTAAGAGTCGTTCAGGGCAAGAGGCCTCCATGAGGGAACGTCCATTCATCATCGTCACATGATGGTAGCTCAGAGTCTGATTGGCGATGATGTAATGTATCTAGTTTGGTTTTCGATGCATTAAATGTAACCAGACAGTTTTCTCCCGAACAGATCGGATATGACACCAGCTTCCAAGCACTGGTTGTCTAGAGTTCTGTAGGTGCATCCATATACGGTTGTGTCATCAGCATGGACTAACAATGTTTTACGTTAGAATAACAAATTAACTTCTATAGGAAATGGCTTTTTTCACCAACCTTGGGTCAACACGGGTATGATTTTCAAGCACTTCACTGGAATCGTCTCCTTACGACGACATTATAAAGAAGTGTTGTGGAGTGATTTCACAGTGGAGGCTTGTATTTGTACTAAGTCGGTCCTAAAATAGGTTCGATGTACATAACGTTAGGAACTTGATATAATAGATAATGACGCAGAGAAATCTAGTTGCGGTCGCTGATACTTTAGTATTCGACTAACTGTCGTACGGCATCGACTAACCGAACTGAGTGACTCTTACTACTCCTACTTATTATAGGTGGGAGAGTCTATTAACTATAGAATAAGTGTGTTCCACTATAACAAGAAGTCACCTCCTTAACAAATCTAACTGGTGAGATTCTAATCCGGGTTGAATAGTCGTTACGCCAACTTTTTGACTACTAGGCCACTAAGTTTAGTAAATTGGTACATTGAAGCGGAGAAAATAATTTACAAACTTGAGAAGTGAATTCGATCCTCACTAGTGCTCTTTACAGCCTTGTGTCAAACTAAGTCTAGTCAGTAGGTGCCTTTGTGGCGGATAATGGTTGACAAACTTGAGTACAGAGTTTGATCCCCAATGAATGCTCCTTATTAGTAGCCTTATGCCAAAGTAAGTTTACTAAATGGGTTCCTCGGAAAGAGATAATAGTCGGCAAACTTAAGTAGTGAGTTCTATCTTCTCTGAGTGCTCCTTGTAGCCTTGTGCCAAAGTAAGTTTAGTAAATGTGCGCATCGGAGGGGGATAATGGTTAGCAAACTTAAATAGTGAATTCTAGCTTCACTGAGTGCTCCTTACTTGTAGTCTTGTGCCAGACTAAGAAATAACAAATGGCTTTGGCGTATCATAAAATACTACTCGTGTGATTAACACGCCAAGTGTATTTATTTAAATGTATTTATTTACCTATTTATTTTTGAACGTAATGACACCTGCTAAGCTTTCTGTCAATTTCAGGTGGGCGTCTATCAGGTAATCAGTTCTATCAATTAAATGTGTCAGCTCGGTGCTAACAAGATGAGATATACTCTTCCTAAAGGTAGATCTCTGGCGACGAGTCGCAAGCATTCTGAACGCCAATGGGCATTCAAAGACGTTATCACTGGCAACCGTGTTTAGACATCGAGCTAGGTGAGAGAAAAAAAAAATGGGGTTAGGGTGAAAGTTTCAAGGATCATAAACTCCGCTTAAATCTCCTGCAAGATTTCAAAATTCACTTTGGATAATACGTTATTAATTAATAACGACGTTTTCAGTCAGGGGCCCGTTTCCGAAACCCTAATCATTATACCAACTCTAGTTGGTATAATTATTTGGGGATCGAAGACGAGTCCGGATTATAGACGAAATCGATGCATTTAATTTCGCACTTTGGGAAAAATATGGATCTATTCCTTCTCCTCGCGTACTCAGGTATGGTGAAGACTGGACTCTCTCTGGTCGTGGACAGCTCTAAATTCAAAGCCGCGCGCAGATATAGTGGCTCTGTTAAATAAAAGTTGTAATATAAAACTTGGGTTGGTCCTGTGCCGGTTGAAGAAACGCAAATGGGCTTGAGCAGACGGAAATCTTCGGAAACGAGAAAGGCCTTCAAATCAAAACAGTTCTGATGAGGATTTAAGTCATTGTTTTATCGAGTTCTCTGATATATCTCCTTTTACCTTCTTAGTGGCGTCAGTTTCACTTCACCCAACATCCACTCCATTTGATTATCTCCCTTTGTTACTTGCTTTCTGTCCGTCATTTTTTATACATTTTTGAACCGCATTGTGCTGGCGTTACAGAATCACAAAGAACAGTAACAAAAAAAATTAAAGTGTATCATTTGAATATTTTTTTAATAACAACAACAAGTAAAATGCATATTGCAACTCTAAAAGAAAATAATGACATAATCAAGATGTTGGCATTTCACACTACTTCAAATAAAAGGTTAGGAAGGCAACCGCTATCAATACAGGAAAGAGCGATGATAGGTTATTTTTATGTATACAATTATTTAAGTAAATGTTCTGTTTATAATAATCAGTATTAATTGAATCTCGGAGAGATTTCGTAGAAAATATGTGTCCTACGACTCCGACAGGAATCGAACCTGTATCCTACACGGAACCGTCATAAAGGTTCGATTCCTGTTGTAGGACACATATTTTCTACGAAATTTCTCGAGTAGTTAGGCCGGTAAATGTAATTAATACTGTTTATTATGAATAGAGCATTTACGTCAATAATTGTATCTATAAAAATAACGTACAAACAGAAAATATATTAAAATAATTGTTGAACTTAGTCAATTTCATTACATATATATATATATATATATATATATATATATATATATATATATATATATATATATATATATATAATATATATATATAAAAAAAGGCTTAAACACTAATATTCCATGGTCATAATTTATTCCATTGGAATCGTAAATACGATCCAAATCATCAGACTTACAAATTCAAAATGAAAACAGAAAAAAACAACTCCGGAAATCAAAACAGAATTTAGAGAAAGTGTAAGTATGAGGATGAGTGACAGAGAGAATTTTTGGAGTGACAGAGAGAAATTTTGGAGATATATATATATATATTCAGCATATCTTCATTCAAATATGTTTCATTGAATAATATTAATATATTATGTCTATTTTTATTTTTATAATGATCCTTTCTAATTCTCTAATCAGTTTCCTGGTGTTAACATAAAATTCATCAGTGAAAGCGTTGTAGTTTTTTCCTACCCAAGCACTTTTGTTCTACACCAAAATCATCCTCAGCAGTCAATTACAAAGACAAACTCATTGTTACTGTGATTAAATCTATATTTCGTTGCGATGGTGATTAACAAGCGTCGCAATATAAGAGTGCTGACCGGAAATTGGTAGAAATGCAAATGGGATGAAATGTCTGTTATATACATTTCAACACGTTGCTGTTATACTCGTAACGAATTTTGTTGAGTGTTGGGTGGGTGATTATTTTTATATAGATATATATATATAGGTCTATTCTACTTAACATATTCAGCACTTTATTTAGTTATTTTGCTTACTCGTATCGGTTTTTTTTTTTTACTTTGGACTTGGATGCTTGACGATTATTTTCGGCTAACGTACATGTTCTTTTGTTCTTTCTTTTTATATATATATACCTTTTTTCCCCTTTGGTATTGGTTTGATTATTTACAAATCAAGACACCGAAGGTTTTCGGACAGTATAATTTCTTATACTTATAAGATTATTAATTTATATATATATATATATATATATATATATATATATATATATATATATATATATATATATATATATATATATATATATATTAAACATTTTTATGTTTAACGTTGTTATTTATAGATACAAGTATTTAAGCAAATGCTCTGTTTATGATAAACAGTATTAAATAACATTTACCGGCCTGAATGTCCGAGAAATTTTCATAGAAAATATTCGTTCTTTGACAGGATTCGAACCTGCATCCTATACGGAACCGTCATATACGAATATATACGAATATACGAATATTTTCTAAATAACAACGTTAAACATAAAAATGACTTTTAATAAATACATTGTCGGACCTTGTCCATTTCTTAAACACATATATATATATATATATATATATATATATATATATATATATATATATATATATATATATATATATATATATATATATATATATATATATATATATATATATATATATATTGTGGGTGTATTTAGGCAGCATTTTTTCATTCATACATGTTTCATTAAATAATATAGACAAGTGTTGTCTATTTAATTTATGTAAATTCTTTTCATAACATCTGATAAGCTTAATAACATCTGATAAGCTTAATAACATTATCATTAAACGAAGAAAGAAAATCACAATATTTTTTAATCCAATCTAAGCTTTCGGACTACATAAGCCATTATCAAAGATGACAATTACTGTACAATATATTAAGCAATATACGGACAAGACAGTGATGATAGTCTGTTTCTGTTTACATGGATGATTTCCAAGCAACGATAAACACGTGCATATAAGACGCTGGAAGCGAAAATCGCACAGCAGCTCATGACGTCACACATGACCACGCGAGAGTGAATTCGAAAAGTATTAAGTATGGAAGCCGTTGGTATAAACCAATGGCTTCTGTCACCAATTATAGACATTTAAGCATATTTGTGGAGATTTCATAGTTTATTTTGTTTAGGTTAGGTTTCAACTGTTTTATGTAAATAGCTTCAAGAATTTTTAATTTTTGTTTATTGTTTTCATGTTTAAGTATAATTGTGCTTTCGACAAAGATTTTACAGAATTGTGTGTGCGGCCAGGCATGCTGCTTTAAATGCCTAAAAATGTTAAAGTTTTCATTCAAATGTAGTGTCAAGCGTCGTGAAAGCGAGTTTGTGGTGTGACCAACATAAATATTATTTAATTCGTTGGAGATACAATCTCCCAAAGGGCACTTGAATTTGTAAACTATGTTGTTTTTTTGCAAATGTAAAAATATATAGAAAATAGGAAAGAACTTGTTATGTAAATAATCCAAAGTTCTTTAGTATTTTTGTTATTATTTTTAAAAAACAGTGCTCGATACAAAAGTAGAGCCTAAATATAATTAATATATATATATATATATATATATATATATATATATATATATATATATATATATATATATATAATATAATATAAATAAATATATATATATATATATATATATATTATATATATAATTATATATATATATATTATATATAAAATATAATTATATATATATATATTATATATATATAATTATAATTATATATATATTATATTATATAAATATAATTATATATATATAATGTTAAACATACAACTGAAATGAAATTCAGCAAAACGGAGGCTAACGTTCATTTGTTTTTAATACAGTACTGGACATTCTTTAGACCAGGTGTGTCCAGACTTTTTTTTAAAGATTTGATAAGGTGAATATGCGTGAGGGACATTCTGTTTGACATTCTTTGAACCATTAAAATTAAATGCAAATGAACTATCTTATGAAAATTTTATTGCAAATGCGACAAATAAATTTAACCAGTTCTTACCAAAATCACTCAGCCTGTCATATCTAAAGTCCATAAAAGATGAAGTAAATTATGCCTGAGAAAAAAGCACTTCCTGGAAGCTATATCTCAGGTTAATCTTAAGCATTACATATTATTGGTAATTAATGTTGTCTGTCAATTTTTAAGTTAAAAACATATGAATAGGAACATAACAGCAATTTCATCTTATTAAGAAGTAGAAAACATAAAGTGACACAAGTCCAAGTGTCCAAATACTGTACAATTATATTAAGCAATATACGGACAAGACAGTGATGATAGTCTGTTTCTGTTTACATGGATGATTCCCAAGCAACGATAAACACGTGCATATAAGACGATGGAAGCGAAAATCGCACAGCAGCTCATGACGTCACACATGACCACGCGAGAGTGAATTCGAGAAGTATTAAGTATGGGATGCATAACAGCAACCAAGTCTTACCAAAATCACTCAGCCTGTCATATCTGAAGTCCATAAATACAAATGAACTATCTTATGAAAATTTTATTGCAAATGCTACATTTTCATTTTTTACATGGTCGACAAATAAATTTAACCACGTCTTACCAAAATCACTCAGCCTGTCATATCTGAAGTCCATAAAAGATGAAGTAAAATATGTCTGAGAAAAAAAGAACTCGATATTATGACACTAAAGACGAGGACAACAGTCCGAACAGTGTAAATAATTACAATATCTCATCTTAGAAATATAGACAGATATTGAAAGAGTGAATATGGCAACAAAGATGAGGACAACAGTCCGAACAGTGTAAATAGTGTAAATAATTACAATACGTCATCTTAGAAATATAGATAGATATTGAATGAGTGAATATGGCAATAAAGATGAGGACCAAAACATTCGACCACGCTCCGAGCGAGTTTCTGGCGTCGATGAAGCCGCTCTGTTTGAGTGTATGAATAGAATATGTATTCTTTGTAAGAAATCAGTTTGTACATTATGTTTCATTGACATTATGTTTCATTGACATATTTTTGTAAAGAGTTCTATAACTGATTTTAACCAACACAAGACAAATTTAATTCACCAAGATTTTAGAATTTATTCATCTTAGATGACCAAAACAAATAAGTTGCCTGAAGTAATGTGAAGGATGAAAATAACATCTGGAGTGCAGTATGTATGCCTTGTCTGGTTCAAAGGCAGTGACTTTAGAAATTGGCTGAAAAAGGCCAAGATCTGTGTCACACCACCATAGAGCAGCTACACAGAGTTGCTGCCATCTTTTGGTAACAGATTAAATTACATTTTATAGGTATGTATTTTACATACTCTGATTGGCAATACTGGCGATCCACAAGTGATACATTCTATGACAGAGGATGGGGGCCATATGAAATTTGATCGCGGGCCGTAATTGGCCTTCAGTCCAAATTTTGGACATGCCTGTTTTAAACAGAGCCATATGCAGTGTAAATATTTCATTTTTTTTCTGGATCTTATTAAAAACGTACCAAGCACACAATTTACTAAGTTTCACGGTAATAAGCCGATCCTAAGACTTTAAGAATATGCCTGTTCCATTGTTCGGACGTTTTATTTATATATATATATATATATATATATATATATATATATATATATATATATATATATATATATATATATACATGGTCGGCGGTTACAATGCCTTGCAAGAGGATTGGTCTCAATCACCTGCCATCCACGAATACACGTGCACAATATTTATTGAATAAGGCAAAATTAAATAAAATAAAATACCTAGATGTATATTTGTTCTCGTTTAGGCGCTAGCTGGCTTAACAAGAACCTGTTCATCTGCCTATATTTGCTAAAAAGTTCTGATCTTTTGTTGAGGAAACTTGCTTGTTCCGGCAATCATATTATTCTATATTTTTCCTGCAGGCATAGGCCACAAGACTTTGATGTTGCTTTTAGAACTTACGCTGTTTTTATCATTTTCTATTTAAATATAGGAGATTTTCCGGTTTTGTCCTTTTGTACCCATACATATTTAGACAGTGTTGTTCTGTTATCATGCTATTATAAAAATATGTTTTATCATTGTAAAATCTTTCTTTCCAATGTTCTGCGCCTCTTTAATAGATTTGTCGGGTTTATTTAAACTATTTATATTTTTCGAGCTGTTGTTCTCATCTTTATTGTCATGTTCACGACGTTCTAATTGTTCTAGTTCCCCAAGAACACATGACTAAGGGATATAAGCGTTGGTTGAAATAATGCAAGAGTAACTTGACACAAAGAGTTCCATACCTGGTCACAGCAGAGGTAAACAAAAACTTGGACAGTTTAGTTACTAAAGGGAATTAACTGAGATATCCAGAAAAGGCATGACACGTGGAACTAGAACAATCTACCCCCGTGGACTAAATAAAGGGTTTGGTTCAAAATTTCAACTTATATTACCTTAAGAAGGCCGGAGCGTACAACGGTCAAAATATCGTGGATGTGGCAATAAGGATGAGGACAACAGTGTCCGAATTATGTAAATGGTGTAAATAGTTGCAATATCTCATCTCAGAAATATAGACAGATTTTGATGTGAATATGGCAATAAAGATTAGGACAACAGTCCGAACACTATAAATAGTTACATCTCATCTCAGAAATATAGACAAATGTTTGTCAGGTTTGCTCGTCACTCTGCCGGCTGCTTGAAATATTTCGTCTTTTACTGACATTCACCATTGATTCGACAGTCGCATTTATGCCTACCATGAAAAGAAGGGTGGGACAATCGACGCCGGTTTTCTGCAACACTTCATAATTGCGGTTCTTTAACAACTAAACCATATTATCTGTGCAGCTATAACTCAAATTTTACTTGGTCTCTTTTAAATATTTGATTCAGCATGCACGATTTTTTAAAGTAATTATCAAGTAAATGAATGAATAAATACCCTAATCCAGTTTTACAGCGAAATGAAATATCGGATTAAACCAGATTACATTCCTGTTTTGTTTTCTAGAAGACATTTTTCCGGCTGCAGAAATATTATGTCATGGTCTAGCTTGGGTCCAGTAACAACTTATAGAGGAAGCAAGGGTGCCTCAGCGTGGCTAAAGGTTAACGAGACCAGTACACTTGACTATTACAACTGAGTAGTGACTTCGATCCTCACTGGGTGCCTCATAAAACAAAATTGGCATCATATAATCTAATAAGGTTGACATATCGTAAAATCAACCAACATAAATATTTATGTCTATTTCATTCTATAGGTTATCTATCTATCTATCTCTTTCATCCTGTACGTTATATATCTATCTGTTTATCAATTTCAGTCTATTCGTTATCAGTCAGTTCATTATCTATTTGTCTATCTATCTATCATTCTGTACGTTATCTATCTGTTTTATTATGTACGCTATTTATCTATATATCTATTTCATTGTGTATGTCATCTATTTCAGTCTGTTCATTATTTATCTATCAGCTTGTTCATATCTATCTATCTATCTATCTATCTATCTATCTATCTATCTATCTATCAGAACCTGTTCATATATCCCTCTCTCTATAGCTATTTCAGTTTGTTCATTATCTATATATCAATCTATCTATCTATCTATTTCAGTCTGTTCCTTAACTGTTTATCTCTCTAGCTATCTATCATGACTTGTTCATATCTATCTATCTATCTATCTATCTATCTATCTGTTTCGCTGTGTTCGTTATCTATCTGAGCCTGTTCATATGCATCAGCGCGCTTCGGTAGGAATAATGACTAGCGTGTACAATTTGGATGACCACTATTACTGAGTTGCGAGTTCAGTCGTGACTAGCTGCCTATGTTTGGCATCTATCTATCTATCAGATAAAGGCAAAAGGTTGTGCCCGATTTTCATTGTTGTTATAAAATGACAGCAAAGATGGAGGATGAATAGTTGCACTTCCGTCATATCATGCTCTTTAAATTTTGGAATGGAGTAACCGTTGAAACTGCAGGAAAAAAAAACATTCAGAAGGTTTATTTGGATTGTATTCCAGAACTTCGGACCGACAAAAAATGGTTTGGCAAATTTCGTCGGAGTGATTGTAACCAAAACATTCGACCACGCTCCGAGCGAATTTCTGGCGTCGATGAAGCCTCTCTGTTTGAGTGTATGAATAGAATATGTATTCTTTGTAAGAAATCAGTGTTGTTCATGATGACGGTCGTCTTTGAGTATAGAATCCAGAGGTTAGCAGTGAATATTTCGAAGACAGTAGGAAAGCGTTGTTCAGGTTAGCAGTGGATATTTCGATAAAAGTAGCAGAGCATAGTTCGTCCTTCTGGTTCTCTTCGCCTGACAAGCTGGACTGGACATTCGAAGAGAGTAAACAAAATGGCCGCCTTTATACACGACGGATTGAATATTCTACGTCTTATGATTGGTTAACCTTCTATTGGTGGACTATAAAGTGAGTCAAGTCATTTGGGCTAACTCACTAGTAGATACATATACACAAATCTATTGCTGGTAATATTTTTTTCCAAAACGTATTGCTGGTATTTTTACTATAAAAATCTATTTTTATACATTCATAGTGTTTTCACCCAAGTTTGGGTGGGGGGTAACTATATACCCATAGCTGTGACTCTAACAGGTGCTACCGCCCCAGGTCAGGGTGAACCTGGGAACAGCAGCAATAAAGAGGTGGTTTCACGCTCCCCAAAACCTCCCGATCAGAAGCTTTGCTGCCGGATGTACTTTATCGTCATACACAGAACAACGGAAGAGAATTTGGAGATGATAAGAGGCAGTGTTTATGTAAATTGGAACATTATCCTTTTTTTTTCTTCTTCATGTTGATGCAGTTCCTTCCTGCAGGTTTAAAGTAACGTCTAGTTTGTTGATTGCCTTCAAATTTGTTACCATTTTAGTGAGTCGTCTTCAATGAAATTTAACAGTTTGTTTTTTTTTGTTTGTTTATTTTTCTTTTTTACAACATGAACAGGCCTCACTATTTTGCTCCTACGCCCTCTCGAGCTATATTGTTACCGTCAAGATTGATCAAGAATTAATCATAGATTATTATTATTATTATTATTATCTTTCGGAAATTCACTAATTTTAAGGATAGGCTGAGATTCTACGCTTACTTGTATTCAACATATTTTAAAGAAAAAAAGTTGTTTTTCGTGGGACTGAGCTCGATTATCGGAAAACAACCTTTGCCCTGTCAGAAAGAACAAAGAAATATTCTTTTTTGTCGTCATTGGGAAATTTCTTACAAAAATTCTGCTATTCTATGCATTTGGGGTTTCGGAGAAAATAGAAAATAAATTTCAAATAACAATGTAGTTCACAAAAGCTTTTGGTCTGAACTTTTTCCTAAAAATAGTATTTCAATATCCAAACATCTAAATACTGGTTTTGGGACGTAGGCTACGCCAGTAAGTTATCAATACTACATTGTGTGTGTGTGTGTGTGTGTGTGTGTGTGTGTGTGTGTGTGTGTGTGTGTGTGTGTGTGTGTGTGTGTGTGGGCGCATATCCGTATACATATGGGCGCCTGTGTGTGTGTGTATATATATATATATATATATATATATATATATATGTGTGTGTGTGTGTGTGTGTATGTATGTGTGTGTGATTGTTTTATTTTTGACTATCGTCTAGCGAAGAAATTGTAGAATTTATTTATATTAGATACCACCAACCTGTGCGCAAATAATCTACCATAACGAAAGTAAAATTAAATAACTCAACCTGTGGTTTGCGCATATATATATATATATATATATATATATATAAAAAGTGATCTCGAGCTAAGATGAAGTGGAAAGACAATGTTGTATCCATTGCTAGGTCAGCTGCTAAGAAAATTTGTTCACTGTGTCGTGATAGACAATTTTAACCTCCAGAGTTTATCTTACATATCTATAAGTCTACCATTCGTCCACGCTTCGAATATTGCTGCCACATGTGGTCCGTTGCTCCTGCTATATATCTAGAGATATTTTATAAAATCCAAAGAATCAGCAATATTATCGGTCCTGACCTGGCGCCTTGGTTTCAGTCACTTTTCCAGCGCCGTAAAGCTGCTTCGTACGCCTTTTCTATGAATACTTTCTATGAATACTTACTTGCTCTATGGTACCTAGACTTTAAGAATTTAAGCGCAATACGAGATTGATTTTGGTATGTCCAATTTGTAATTTGGATGTTGGGCATTTTCTTTTGCTGACCACCGGTCATTTTGTTTTCTTTTTAGTTCTTTCTTCTCACTTTCGTTCATTACCTTCAGCGGGAGTTCTTATAGTTTTCTTTCTGTGTCTGCTATCAACACTATGTCATCTGCATATCTTATGTTGGTACGATATTAAGTTATAAATGAAAACATGAGACTGCATCTCTAATATTAAATATTGCATTTTATTCAATTCTGGAGTCATCAATTACCGTCGGCGAGACCCCGGATCTCTCTCTCTCTCTCTCTCTCTCTCTCTCTCTCTCTCTCTCTCTCTCTCTCTCACGCGAACTCTGCATTCTCTTGTGGTTGTAATAAACTCTATACTTTATTTATCTTTCATACGGTTTTTCTTGCGCTTGTACTTCCTAGACACATCTGGGTCGATCACTTGTTTACATGTCGGGTACTAGAGACAGCCTCTGACATCAGGAGAAGCAAAGATCGCCATGCGACGAATAGAAGGAGATCACTTAGTTCTGCTGGTCTTCGTAAATGTCAACGAATGTTATGGTTTCTCCTTTGGTATCTAGAAACTAGTCTTTATGAATTTAAGCGTACTACTATATCTCATCATCATATGTCTCATCATCTTACGGTTGAAATGGCTATATATAACCGTAAGTTCTATGCTAACAGTTCCTTATCTCGCACTTCTCATTTGTGGAACTCTCCTCTGGTTTCTTGCTTTCTAGTCAACTTTGATCCTGTTCTTTTATTGTTCTCTCACTTTGGTGGCTACTTTGACTTGCTTCTGGCGAAATGATTAATACACACAAACACACACACACACATACCGGGTGTAACTTCAAAATTGTCCACATCGTGTAACAGCATGGGATAGTTGTCCATCACACAAAATGTTTAATATCTAAAAACCACTAAACTAATCGAGTTTCTTTTTTCCAGGTTTTCAGATAAGACGTTTAGCCATCTTGATACCATTTGTCGTAAGAATTACTGAAAAACCCTTTGAGTTATTCAGCTAGAAATAGAACAGGTTGAAATCGTTTTGTGTAAGCCCCAATATGTCTCCCCAAAAGAGCAATAGTGAGAGGAAAGAGATCATTCAGGCCTTCAATAATAGTAGTATTCATACTCTGGCTTCCATCTTTAAAGTCCGTTCAAGAACCATCAAGAGAATGGTGAATAAGTTTTTTATTAAAAAAAAAAAAAAGAATAGTAAAGAGGAAAACTGAATCAGGAGGTCAAAACAGCCAGAGGGATCATCATTTCAACTTAGAAGTAAATACATTCTTATTGTTCAAAGTAGAGTCCAGTAGTGTCATAAAAACCTCGGATAATTCCAGTAAGATATCTTTAATCATTTTTAATGTACAACGGATCAAATCTTAATCTAACAATTAGACAATTTTGCTGTTCCACGATTTGGACAATTTTGCTGTTACACACGGCATATATATATATATATATATATATATATATATATATGTGTGTGTGTGTGTGTGTGTGTGTGTGTGTGTGTGTGTGTGTATTGTCCCTTCTTATTTTCAGTTACAATTTAACAGTAGCAACGCAGGCAATTCGGATAACCCAAAGAGAAGCGGTTAAATCTCCGATAAGACTGCAACTTCTACCATTCACATTGCTTCTTGTTAATCTCTTATTGTGCCTAATAATATCTCCGAAAAGAACGAATCTTCTATCAGTCTCAGACTTTTATTCCAAGAGATTGTCATAATTGTTCTATTTTATTAATAATTATTATTGTTAATCTCTTATTGTGCCTAATAAGATCTACGGCCTTGAGGGTGATGAATTATATCCCACCATGTAATCCCTCTCTCACAGATGAGATGTAACAAGCCTCTCACTGCTCTATCGCTACTTCCATGGAAAGTGCTCAGGCCAACTACATTCCTTAGTTCCACCAGTTGTAACCTTCACGGCTAGGACCCACCATGCCACGCACATTATAGCAAACCACCCCCATTCTCACTGTAAAAAAATACCGCATTCTCCTACTATTACTTTTGCAATGTTCGGTGATGTTGTATATCCGGTATGAGATTGACTATAAAGAATTGTAAAAACAGTGCATTTTCAATAGATTTTCTTCATAGTGAGTTCTTTTCTCTTATAGTTAGACTGGTATTAATTACGTCGAAATTGCGGTCAGATGTGTTACGATGAACTACCAGTGTGTTATATATCATTTATGTTTCTTTATATATCTTTAAATCTATCATTATTGCTAATGGAGGCAAATAACAGTTCCGTTCTGAAAAATAAAATAATCATTTATCTGTGTGAAAATCGTGAATGCATAAACGCAACCTAAATGATAGTTTTAGCTCACTTTATTAATTACTTTTAATGAGTTCGTTCAGCACTAATTACCATTCGGGGCCAATCTGAACTTAGTACAGTGCGTTTCACAATTTTTGAAACAAAATGATCAGGCACAAATCAAGGACCACAAATAGAGTAATGGAAATTACATTTATTGAAAGGATAACATTTTAGGATCGGCAACCATTTCGTCTCAAACATGAGCCAAAAATGTCAAGAGAAGCACTAGAGTAGATGCTACAGATGTCCGCCGTTCAGTTGAAGGCATTGTTGAATGCAAAGGTGTTGATAATGTGTACACATTCCTCCTGGGTGTTGGCTGCCTTCAATGCAGCAATGATGCGAGGGTCGCCCTGATAGATGTGGTCTTTGAGGAAACCCCAAAGGAAGAAATCTGGCGTGGCGGGGGGAATTTGTTAAGTCAGTCGAGTGAGATACCCATTCAACTTCAGCTTTGCGACTCTGACGCACCCCAAACTTTTCACGGAGCCATGCCATAGTAACATTAACAGTGTGAGGAGGAGCATCATCCCGCTGGAACCACTGTTCCTTCTCAAGGTCCTCACGCTCTCCGCCCCTCCCCCCCGCCCCTGAGAGGCCGCTGCTTTGCGTCAACAATTGTGAAACACCCTGTATATACTATGGAATAAACACCTAATTTAATTTTCGAGAAATTGTTATCACTTTAAACGTTATTTTTAGCGGATACTCACATTTGAGTAGACGCTCCGCTTATCTATTAAACAGTATATTTATTTTCGTTTGCCGGCCTGAATATTCGAGAAATACATCCACTCCCCGACAGGATTCGAACGAGAAGGATTTCCCTTAAAGGCACGTTTCATATTTGTTTAGCCGACAAGGCTACTCCGTGGCCGAGCCGGTTAAGGCACGTCGGGTCCAACGATGATTTTCCTCTGCCCAGGGGGGGGGACAAAGGTTCGAATCCTACCGGAGAACTCATATATTTCTTTAATAAGATCTCTCAAATATTCAGATCGATAAACGAAATAATTTAATAAATAAACAGAGCTTCTACTCAAATAAGGGTAACCACTAAAAATAACGCTTAAAGTGATAAACACCTAATTTCATGCCAAATATAAACCTTTCTATTTGTAGAAAGTTTTATAGATACAAATTTTCTCAAATGTAACTTTTATAAAATCAAGAATAAATTATGCCCCTTGAAACACCAAAAAGTATCGTAATGAAAACCCAATTTTGAATGGTAATGGTCTGTTATAAGGGCTGTTTCACACAACGCCACAAATTGCTACCAAACCAAAACATTAACCGAATAACTGAAATCATGTTCTAAAATAGCCTCGCCAGATCAAGAATTTTACGGACTGCAAAGAAAGTTGGTTCTCTATGTCGCGCCAGAATGTTTTTCTCGCCTGAGTCCATCTTCCAAATTTATAAATCAACCATACGCCCTTGCATGAAATACTCTTGCCATATATGGTCTGGAACCCCCTCTGTTCATCTCAAGATCCTCGACAAAATCCAGAGAGTGAAAAGCAATGTGATTGGCCCTGATCTGGCATCTCGTCTACAGTCACTTTCTCACGGACGTGCCGTTGCTTCCCTCTGTCTTTTCTACTTTCACGGTAACTGTTCCCACGAGCTATTTTCGCTGGTTCCCAAACTGTGTGAATTTAAGCGTGTTACTACGTTGGCATCTCAGTCCCACCCTTTCACAGTTGAAATGGTTAAATGTAGCCGACTCTTCGACTCCAAAGGCTTCATGTCTCGCACTTCTCGTCTGTGGAACTCCCTTCCTCTTACTTACTTCCCTGACAGTTATAGTCTTCAAATATTTAAATGTAATGTCAATCGACATCTTCTGACGCATTGATCTAATTTCCTGTCCTTCTCTTTATCCTTTCCTCAATCACCTCTCTTTACTCTTGATCCCACTCTCTGTAACCCCTTGTGTGCTAGTGGCATTCCCACCTTACTTGGGGTGAAATGCTTTAAAAAAATGGATGTTATGCCTGGTGCTGAAAATTCATTAAAAATACTGAAACTATCAACTGTATACAACAGTTTTCTCAGAACAATAGTTAAAAATTGCTTCGAGCGAATGTAGCCTGTAGTATTAGCGATCACAAGTAAAGACTTGTACCAAATAATAGAAACTATATCACTTGAGAACTTTGAACAACAGCAACATGTGTTATAACCCTTTAGAAGGTGGGCGATCATGGCGCTCCCCAACTTCCTATTCTTTCTAGCTCTTACTGAGGTTTGTCTTTTTGCTATCTCCCCTAAAACCTCTTCTGTCAAACGTTTGCTCAACCTTGTTAGGTTTCGCCCTGCTCTCCTTGGCTCTCTTGCCATCAATATATCCTGTGAGTTTCAAATTTTCCAAGCCCCCTTTCCTCATTATATGCTCTAGAAATTTCAACTGTCTCTTTTTTATTCTAAATATGCGTGCTTTTGCTTACATTTTCTTGAAAACGTCATCATTACTCATATGTTCAGTCTATGGTATTCTCAACATTTTGTAAAACCATATTTCCGTTGTCTCTTCTTTATCTGTGAGGGGTTGTCCCGCATTCGCTGCCATATGGAAACACCGATATTACGTAACAGTTCAGCATTCTTTACTTTGTTTCTAACGAGATATCCCTGTTTCTTAATACATTGCTTAGATTTTAGAAGTCATCTTTCGCTATGCCAATTCGCATTCGGATTTCGGTGTCGCATTTTCCCTCCTCTGTTAAGACACTTCCTAGATATTAATAGGAAGACTGATATTTCATGACAATTCAGTACTGTTTCTAACGCAATTTTCCTGTTTCTTAATACTCTGCTTAGCTTTTGGAAGACAACTTTCGCTATTACGATGTATCTTCGGATTTCGGTGCTGCTTTTTCCTTCCTCTATAGCACACTTGAAGAGAAAATAATAACATTATGAAGATGCTCACGTTCCACACTACTTCAAGTACAGGGTTTTACGAGGGAATATTGCATTAACACTTTTTTTTAGAATAACACTGATTTTTCCAGATACAAGTCCTACTTTTTAATCATACCTTTCTCAAAATATTTTCACATAAGTGAATAGAACAAACACGAATGAAATTCGAACTCGGCTTGATGAGTTTGCATTCTGTCACGTTATCCATTACACCACTCACACGTCCGCAGATACTTATAGACTCAAATATAAAGGAGTAATATTACTCTATTTCCGAACAAGGAATAAATACTCATAGTCTCAAATATAAAAGAATCATTGAACCAAGTAAATGCTTATAAACTCAAATATAATTTTTAAGACGACAAATTTTGATATTAAATAATCCAACAAGGATTAACATGTAAAATCGAGCAGCCCATCACAATTCATTTTTTTGCTTCTCTTTTTTTTTTTTTTTTTTTTTTTTAATCGAATTCTCTCCGTCCAAGGCATTAAGCCACTGAGGCACAACGGGTTACTAGATGTGATAAAGGTTCTTTTTTTTTTTTACAATAAGATTTACCCTATACAAAGCCCGACTGGCCACTCGAGAGTCACGTTAAGGGTTAATTTATATGGATAGAAGTGGAAGATAACAGTTGAACAGGTTAAGTTTGTAGTGATCGGGGAAACATCCTCTTGGGATCTGTTCTACAGATCAGTGGTTTGTGGGAAGATGCTGCTCGAGCGGAACTTACTTCGCGTCGATGGAATACGGAAGGAATGGGGGGGGGTTGCTAGAATGTAAGTGGCACAGTGGGTCCTGTCCGTGAAGGTTAGATCTGACGGAACCAAGGAATGCAATTCGTCCGAGCATTTTTCCATAGAAGAGCGATAGAGCAGTGACAGACGCGCCACATCCCGCCTGTGTGAGAGAGAGAGAGAGAGAGAGGTTTGAGGGTAGAAAATAATTCTTTTCCAACAAGGAATCGGAGACGATTTTGAACTCTATCAAGATTGGAAAGTGAGGATTGGTCAGTTCTCTCTCAAATATGGCGACATTGCTCCATTTTCGGCGATGGATCGTATATAAGAGTTAGAAACAGAAACATTGCTAAGAAACGAGAACAGAAGGCGAGTAATCAGGAGGAAAGTAGATGGCGATTGACATTGCATTTACATATTTGAAGATTAAAGTTGGCTGGAAAAGATGGAGCCATAAGGGAGTTCCACAATCGGAAGTGCGAGATAAGAAACTGTTAGCATAGAATTTATGGTTACATCTAGCCAACTCAACTATAAATTGGTAAGACCTCGTCGCCAATCTAGTTAAATTCAAAGAGTGTAGGCACCATAGCAAAGAGCTCATTAGAACAATTACTATGAAAGTATTTATAGAAAAGGCAAAGGGAGGCAACCTTACGGAGGTGAGAAAGAGACTGAAGCCGCGACGCCACACTAGGGTCAATAATATGGCTGATTCTTCTTTGGTTTTTATCAAGGAGCTCTAGATAGGGTCAGCAATATTCTAAGTATGAACGAATGGTAGACTTATAGATATGTAAGATAGATTTTGATGAGAATAATTGTCTAGCGCGTCACAGGGAAGCCATTTTTTCTTTTTTCCTATTCTCTCAGTCCCCAGTCTCTCTTTTTCTTCTCTCTCTCTTTCTCTGTCTGTCTGTCTGTCTGTCTGTCTGTCTCTCTCTCTCTCTCTCTCTATCTATCTATCTGTCTATCTCTCATTTTCCCTTCATTTCTCCAGATCTCGCTGACTTCTCCCTTCTATTTTCTGTACTTTCTGTTTCAGTTGCTCTTTTAATTTCACTTACAATTCTTTCCTTTTTCTCCGTTTCATCTCTCTCTCTATCTATCTATCTATCTCTAGCTCTCCCACTATTTCTCACTAAACTCTCCCCCTTTCTCCTTTCTCTCTCTCTCTCTCTCTCACACACACACACACACACACACACACACATACACAATCTATCTATCTCAAATATTCATTCAGCTTTTCATCTCCCACCTTCCAGTTTTTCGACTCTTTAATCTAATCGACCTCTTCTTTTTCTGTCGCCTCCTCTATCTTCTTTTTCGCTTCCTTCTTTCTTTCCGGTTCTTTTTCTAATGAAAATCTCTTTATTTTTTTTTCTCGTCAACCTTTTTTCTTTCTCTCTTTTCATTCATGTCATCTTCTCTTAATTGCAAGTTTTCTCTCCTCCCCCTACGCCCTCACCCCACTCCTGTCATTTTGATCGATCATATATTCCTTCCCCGACCCAATCCTTGACCAACAAAATCACGTCCAATTCCAAGCAGCCTCCAGCCACGGCATCTATTAAGTGTCTAATTCGAGTGAATGAGATCAGTATTTCAATCAAACTAGTTACAAAACCTGCTGCTGGTTCTATCTACAGCGTTTAAAGGATGGGCCTTCTTGCCGTGGAGTAACGATTACCCTGCTCGTCTAGGTGAGTACTTTTATTGATAATTAGTTCGATCTTCATTAGGGGCTGCATACTTGTGAAACGTAACGTAGATAGGTTTACCGATTACTATTGAGTGAGTTCAATCCTTACTGAAACCTTTACACCTGCGCTAAAATCAGGCTTAAGCTTTATACATGCGATCTACAAGAAAGTTTTCATGAAAATAGGAACTAGAAGAAAACTTGTACTTACAATCACAGAGACAGAAGAAATTGCTGGGACATAAAATGGGGAAAGAAGGCATAAAGAACTTAACGCTCCTATGACATAGTGAAGGCAAGACAAGTAAGGAGAAATGGCGAGTAACCTTAATAAGTTTGTATAGATGGACAACAAAAAGGGATAAAGATGATATATTAAAGACAAGAGAAGTGAAGAGAAAAAGGGAGTAACCTGCTTAAAAAGGTTTGTGTAAATGTATGGTTTCACAGGGACAAAGAGGCCTGGTAAAGAGTCAAATGTTATTTAAAGCAACAAAATATAGGAAGTTGTGGAGAGCCATGATCACCTACTTAATGAGTTTGTGCAAATGGATGTCAGGACAAGGAGAAAGAGGGATGGTAAAGAATCAAAAATTACTTAGAGCAACAAAATATAGGAAATGAGTTTGCATGAATGGACAAAGGGAGTGGTAAAGAGTCAAAAGTTACTTAGAGCAACAAAAGACAGGAAGCTGTGGGGAGCCATAATCACCTACTTAATGAGTTTATGTGAATGGAAGATAGAACAAGGACTGGGTGGTATAGTAAAGAGTCAAAAGTCAGGAAGTTGTGGAGAGCCATAATTGCGTAGAGAATTTAACACACTCAGGACATGTTGAAGGTAGAAGGAAGAGAAGATAGCGAGTAACCTATGTAATGCGTTTGCATGAATTGATGGCAGAACAAGGACAGATGGAGGCGGTAAAAGTTTAAAGAGCAACAAAAATAGGAAGTTGTGAAGGGCCATGGTTGTCGAGAGAAATGAACACTCACGGGGTATTTTGAATGAAAAAGAAATACGCGGAAACAGCGGTTAAACTACTTAGAGCAACAAAAGGAGAGGATGTTGTGGAGAGTTATGATCGCCCGCATCCTAAAACGATGCGGGACATAAAAGATGCATAGCAACAGTGTTCAAAGGACTAGTGAAGAAGAAGAAAAAGAAGAGGAGGAGGAGGAGGAGGAAGAAGAAGGGAAGAAGAATAAGGGTATAGGAAGAAGAAGAAGGGGAGGAGGAGGAAGAAGAAGAAGAAGCGTGTAGGAAGAAGAAGAAGAAGAAGGGTGTAGCAAGAAGAAGAAGAAGGGTGTAGGAAGAAGAAGAAGAAGAAGAAGAAGAAGGGTGTAAGAAGAAGAAGAAGAAGAAGGGTGTAGCAAGAAGAAGAATAAGGGTGTAGGAGGAAGAAGAAGGGGAGGAAGAGGAAGAAGAAGGGGAGGAGGAGGAAGAAGAAGAAGAAGAAGCGTGTAGGAAGAAGAAGAAGAAGGGTGTAGGAAGAAGAAGAATAAGAAGGGTGTAGGAAGAATAAGAAGAAGAAGAAGAAGGGTGTAACAAGAAGAAGAAGAAGGGTGTAGGAAGAAGAAGAATAAGAAGGGTGTAGGAAGAAGAAGAAGAAGAAGAAGAAGAAGAAGAAGAAGAAGAAGAAGGGTGTAACAAGAAGAAGAAGAAGAGTGTAGGAGGAAGAAGAAGAAGAAGAAGAAGAAGAAGAAGAAGGGTGTAGGAAGAATATCGTGATCAGGTAGGAAATGTTATGACTTTTAATTATTCCTCACGAGAGCAACGAAAAAGTAAAAAAAAATAATAACAGTAAATGAAGATGACAATGTGATGGATGGTAGAGACGAAACAAAGTGGAGGTAAACCCGAAAATGCGACAGAAAACCCAAGGAAGAAGAAAAAGGAAAGACGAGAGGTTGAGGTAGGAGTTAGAGTTAGGGCCGTATATCATTCATAATGATAAACGCTAAATGAGAATGATGAGTAAGAAAAGCTAGAAGCAAGAATAAATAATGAATCCATGGCATAAATTATAACTGTTTTTCTCATTGACAATCATTTGAACTGCGATTGTTTCTAGTTGTTTTTTTTAATTCTCTACATCTGCTCTCAAACACTTGATGATCAGGACTTACTCGCTTCAGAACGCCTTCACAAAAAGGGCTATGTCGATAGGTAAGTATTATTATCCACTCACTGTTTGTTGTCTTTTGAGTAAGCAATAAGTAATTATGTATAAGCACAGAAAATAGTGAAGTCTTCTTCTGTGCTGTGTCCCTTCAACATGTTAGTGATCATGGCTCTCCACAATTTCCTATCCTTCGTAGCTCTTAATAAATTTTATCTTTTATCTAAACCCTGTTCTGCCATCCATTTACTCAAGCTCTTTATGTTGATTAAGCGTTGTTTGCTTCAGTTCCTCTTGCTTTCACTCTGTCCTGTGAGTATCAGATTTTCCAAGTTCTCTTTCCTCATTATGTGCCCTAGAAATTTCAACTGTCTCTGCTAAGTAAAAGCGTCCGTTTTGTTTCTATTTTCTCTAAAACATGGTCATTGGCCACATTTTTGGTTCATGGTATTCTCAGTATCCTTCTGTAGAACCACATTGGGAGGCGATTGTCCAACAATCGGTGCTATATATGACTGATGTTATGTAATAGTTCAGTACTCTTTTCTTTGTTTCTAACGAAATTTTTGTGGAGTGTATCTGTGGAGAGCCATGATCGCCTAGATCTTGAAAGAACATTGCACTGAAACAAACCTATATTGGGGTAAGCGTGAAATAATATGATTTCATCAGAAACAGTGAACTTTCGAAAGATAGCTTGATAGTAGACATCTTATGTAGACATTTGGTAAAGTCTGGCACAAGGCCAGAACTATGTCGAACTTAGGGAGAAACGATTTTACGAGACATCGTTTTCTATGACTATTACTCTTCTGCAGGCGCCCATCTATATCCACTTTATATGAATGATTTTAATGCAAACGAGCACACTATTGATTGATTGATTTGTTTGTTTTTTTACGGTTTATTGACCCTTTATGGGTTATTTAAAGCCGAAACCTAATTGAGCTGTAAAAGAATAATTCCTTTTTTGTGACGCAATATAGCATTAACAATTTGGGGGGGATAACAATGATTTTCCAGATAAAAGTTCTACTATCTATAGATGGTGGGAAAGAGGTAAATTCATACCTTTCTCAGGGATATTTGCGACTGGAGTTCGAACTCGGCACTCCGATTTCTCACTCTGTGCTGCTATCCATTACAACAAACCACTATACTTTTGAGATTGAAAATATAATGTGAGCGGCTTTTAAGTGGATTCTGTTTGAAAGCTAACAAGCACATGTTTTCCGCCTCGACTGTTCCACAGTTTTTATTATTCAAAGTAGTTTGCACATGTCGGCATAAATTACGGCATGTTTTGTCATTACGTTGTTATTAAAAGTCATTCTGGTGTGGGGCGTCAGTATATTAATTAATAACAGGAGAAAACACGTTCCCTACCTTAAATTCAGTATAAAATCCTAAATACTTGCTTCTCCACACTTCGATCCTTATCCTACAGCCGAAATGTTGCTAGCCTTTCGCTACTGCATCGCAATTGTTATGGCAGATGTTCGGGTGAACTACATTCCTTGGCACCACCCGTTCAGAACTTCATAGCTAAGACCTGCCAGGCCAAATACACAAAGACGATTCATCCTTATTCCCTTCATATTCCATTCGTAAGGAGGAAGTCCACTCAGTCAGCTTCTTCCCCAGAACTGATTCATTGTGCTGCAGACTCCCGAGAGGATACTTTCCCGACTATTACAATCTCTTCAAGTCACGGGTTAATCGTTATCTATCCTAGATATCCTCCTAATATGCACCTCTTGTTTCCTTCTTGTACGCTCTTATAACAATCTCATTTAGTAACCCTCTAGCTTGATTGGCTCTTAGGCCTTAAATTGATTAAACGATAGTAAAAACAAATATATTATCCATGCCGTCAAAATTGACAGCCTATTTTATTAAGGCCTTGCTATTATTAGAATATTTTCACATGTTAGTTTTTTTATATGCTTTTCTTACTATATATATAATACACCACATATATACTTACGTTTTTTTTTGTGTGTACCACAATTAAGGAGTAGTGTGCAAAATATCAATGATCCACCCAGTACCGTACAAACTTGGTCCCGTTGACGCGTACTGACATCGCTACCGGATAGGGTTCGTATATATATATGCTACATATATCTTCAAGAATGCTTTGTTCATTTTTAAAAATTCATTTTAAACATTAAAAATTATAATAAAAAAAAGGGAACAATTCATATAATAATTCATTAGTCATCGAAAGAGTTTTTTTTTATTCATACTACATCCTTCATTTATACTATTTATGATTGCAATTAAAGGCTTATACAATTAAGTAATTAGATAGTTTTGATGCAATTTTATGTTACGATTCAGAGCATATCTTGTGGAGTTTGGTAATAGCTTGAGAAAAAAATAAATTTAAAAAATATCTGATGATACGTTGCCCTTAGTAGGACGAGAAATAAGCATCTGTCTATATTTCTGAGATGAGGTATTATGTACACTATTTACATTATTCGGACTATTGTCCCCTCATCTTTGTCGCCATATTTATTACGAACGTTTCGGCAGAATGTCGAACTGAACCCTTTATTTCGCTCACTGGAGAAGACTGTTCTAGTTCCACGTGCCATGTTTAATGGATGTCAGTTATGAGTTATCTCCTGTTAATTCTCCTCTCCAAGTTATCCACTGCCTTAACCGGGTATTGAACTCACACTCTTTGGGTCCTGTCACTGGATCTAACCAACGCCTTTATCCATGTGTCCTTTAGGAAATAAAGGAAATAAAGGGTTCAGTTCGACATTCCAACTACCTGAAGAAGGCCGGAGCGTACAAGCGTTGTGATAAATATGGCGACAAAGATGAGGACAATAGTCCGAATAATGAAAATAGCAGTAAACATAATTTTGGTTGTAAATATGTAACATTTATCTGGGTAATATATGGATATCTTTCCTTAGGTGTTTATAAATTATACTGTTCAATTATTAACGTTAACAACGAACTATTTTAAATTAGAAATTTGGATTAAACGAAAATTACTTACAATATAATACATATTACTTATAATACATTCTTTCTTGCCGACAATTTTGATGGCACTGTTACACTAGTTATATTAATAATTAATCATTAAGTGATCATTTTATTACTTCATAACAATAGAAAACAATTCCTCCACTTCATGCCCAGTATAAAGTCATACTACTGCTATATATGAACAGGAGCTGCAGTCTTCACTATTCAATCTTGATAGAGTTTAAAAGAGTCTCTTTATGAGAGATAAATTATTTTCCACCCTTCAGTTGCTTTGTGGAAACGACTCCCAAGATGTTGCTTACCCGATCACTAAAATCTGAACTTGTTCAAGTCTAGGCTTAACCGTTATCTTCCCCACACAGCCCCGTAAACTGTGCCTCTTACTATGTAACCCTCTACTTCGAGTTGCCCCTTGGGAGTCCTGGGTATGACAATAAACTATATCCGGTAACAAGGCCTCTGATCGGAAGGTTGCTGTTGTTCCCAGGTTCATCATGACCCGTGGTGGTAGCACCTGTTAGGGTCCCAGCTATGGGCAAATAATGAACACCCAAACTGGGGTCAGAAAACTGTGAAAGTATAAAAATACATTTTTATATTAAAAATTTCCATCAATAGATTTTAATAGTAAATAAAATTCTAGCAATATATTTTAATAGTAAAAAATATCTAGAAATAGATTTTAATAGAAAAAAATCCAGCAATAGATTTTAATAGTAAAATAAATTCTAACAACAGATTTTAATAGTAAAAGCATTCTAGCAAAAGATACTGATAGTAAAAAAATCTAGCAATAGATTATAATAGTAAAAAATTCTAGAAATAGATTTTAACAGTAAAAAATTCTAGCAGTAGATTTTAATAGTAAAAAAATATCTAGAAATAGATTTTAATAGTAAAAAATATTCTAGCAGTAGATTTTAATAGTAAAAAAAATTCTAGCAGTAGATTTTAATAGTAAAAAAATGGGAAAAAAACCCAAGAAAATTAAACTTAGGCATTAAATGACCCATAAGGAGTTGATATGCCGTTAAACAAATAAACCAAACCAAAACAAAATCAAGTGGCTTTTGGGCCTTGTAAAAGATGAACAGTATTATAAAAAAAATTATCTATGCCATCAAAAATAACGGTCGATTTTGTTTGGTCCTTATTATTATCGGAATATATTCATATGTGAGTTTTTTACATATACTTTGATCTGGTCACATCCTAATTTCGAAAACATCTTAGTGTGCTGAGTTTAAACTGACATTTTATTTTTTCCATGCGTCTAAACTATAATTATAAACAAAATTTCGGAAAGAAAGCGGACACTTCACTGAAATATCTTTGACCAACTGTTTTCCAGTTTCCCAGGTACAAAATATCACAAGGTAATAGAATTATCTCCCTTGCATAGGAGACGCTATTTTAGCGGTGCATTTGTTATGACAATGGTGGAATATGTTAAGATTTATTTAATCATTTACCCCGAAACAAGGTAATAAAGCCACTGAGACACAAGGGTTTACTGAGTAAGAAAAAATATAAAAAAGAAAAGATTATTAAGGAGAGAGAATAATAAAAGAGAAATCAAGAAGACAGGTGACGACGACTGACATTAAATTAATTGACATTGAATTAATTAAATTATTGAAAATCAACGCTGATTGGGAAGCAAGAAGCAGGGAGGGAGTTTCAGTCTTCCACAGAGAAGCTATATTTCTACTGCGCCCTGTATTTTTTATATTTAATATTTTTAATGTTGTTTTGTTTTTATATATATATATATATATATATATATATATATATGACTGAGGGCTAATAGATAGAAAAAAGGCACAGTACAATAAAATTTATTAAAAAAAGCACAACACACGAATGTATACAACATGGCGGTCGACTCGGAAATTATTCCGTTCGGGTTAACTCGGTTCGGTTCGGCTCGGTTCGGCTCGGAGCAACAATGTTGTTCGAGAACCGAAATTTTGTTTGATAACTGGGACACTTTCATCTCAAATATTCAGTTCGAAAATTGATTTGTTCGACATGTGGGATGTTCGAGAAACGAGGTTGCTCTGTATTTGTAAATATTATATGTTAATAAATACTTTTTGTAATGTCTGTATTAAAGTCACAATAATATTTTGTAGCCTCTATCAATTATTTCAGTTTAACCTTGAGGGAAATTTCCAACAACCGCCTCAAAATTGTCATTATCCATTTAGTTATCCCTGGAAGTAACGAAATAGTCATTGGCAGTATTTACTGAAGTTGGTCAAGTCTGGCACAAGGTATTTACTGAGTTTGTTTGACAAGGACACGATGGTCGGAAAGATTAAATGAGAGTAGAACCTTTTGGCAAAAGTTTACAAGTTCAGATTGTTAGCTATCGCCTATCAGTAGCTGCAATTTGCTTTTTCGTTTTTTACGGCTTATCAACCCTTTGTTGGGTATTAAAAGCCGGGTATTTTAGATTGTAATAATTTTTTTAGTTAATAATGGTTTAATGAATAGATGTCTTACTAATTAACCCCTAGCTGGGGGGAGAATTGGTGGATTCATACATTTCCCAAAGGTATCTACTCGTAAATGAATATAACCAACCCAACGGGAATTGGAACTGTCCGTTTAACAATTTCGAGCCATTATCCATTACAACACCCGCACATCCAAGCTTACAGCGCCTGGTATCCCCAAGTAGTCACACATCTAGGTACTGACAAGGCTCGAGGTTGCTTCCATTCGGTGATCGTACGGGAGCCGGTGTTCCAACATGATGTGGCCGTAAGCCGTGCTGTTTGGTCATTTTGCTATAAAATGGATTGTTGGCCATTCTACTATAAATAGTTATTGTTGACAATAAAAAATATATTGCTGGGATTTTTACTATAGAAATACATTTTTATACTTTCATAGTGTTTTGTTTTTGATTGGGAGTTAACTATTCTCCCGATTTTTTTTCTTTTTTACCATTAAAATCTATTGCTGGATTTTTTACTATTAAAATCTATTGCTGGATTTTTTACTATTAAAATCTATTGCTGGATTTTTTTTTTTTACAATAAAAATATATTGCTGGATTTTTTTTTTACTATTAAAATCTATTGCTGGATTTTTTTTTTACTATTAAAATCTATTGCTGGATTTTTTACTATTAAAATCTATTGCTGGATTTTTTAGCATTAAAATCTATTGCTGGATTTTTTACCATTAAAATCTATTGCTGGAATTTTTACCATTAAAATCTATTGCCGGATTTTTTACTATTAAAATCTATTGCTGGATTTTTTACCATTAAAATCTATTGCTGGATTTTTTACCATTAAAATCTATTGCTGGAGTTTTTACCATTAAAATCTATTGCTGGATTTTTTTACTATTAATATCTATTGCTGGATTTTTTTACTATTAAAATCTATTGCTGGAAATTTTTACTATTAAAATGCATTTTTATACTTTCATATCCTATTGCTAGGATATTTTTTTTACTATTAAAATCTATTAGCAGATTTTTTTGCTATTAAAATCTATTGCTGAAAATTTTTACTATTAAAATCTATTACCAGAGTTTTTTCTATTAAAATCTATTGCTGGAAATTTTTACTATTAAAAGGCATTTTTATACTTTCATAGTTTTCTGATCCAAGTTTGGTTGTTCACTATTTACTCATAGCTGGAACTCTAACAGATGCTACCATCCCAGATCAGGGTGGATGTGGGAACAACAGCAATTAAGAATTGGTTCCGTGCTTCTCAAAACCTTCAACCTCCCGGGTGTTGTTATCGTCATATCCGGGCTAAGGACGAAAATGATAACTCTTAATATAAAATATGTTCATTTTTTTTTTTTAGCTCTTGGTCAGTATGTACCCGTTCAGCCGGTGGCTTGCATATCTGCGACTACAAATTGCACCTCTATGGCGCCTCCGGGTGGAACATACAGATCCTGGAATCTAAAGAAGGCATCATGTTGCAACGACCAATATGGTTTAATATCGGACGACCCTCTTCGGTTGGTCCAGGCTAGCCAAGTACATTCCCACGAGATACCAGGACGAGATCCCCCCTACTTACGCTACAGGGCGGCTTATTACAGTGAATTAAAATGGCAAAATGGTGAGTATAAAACAGATTCATAATAATATATATATCTTTAATCATTTCGCCCCCAAGCAAGGCGATATAGCCATTAAGACGCAAGGAGGTCACTGAAAGTAAAGGAAACTGAGAAAACGTTACTGAGGAGAGAGGTCAAGGCAAGGATTTTTTTTTTTTTTTTGCTTGTAATTTTGGTAAATATATCTGTTAAAATGAGATGTCAGTGTTATTTTCATTTTATGCGTAATTTAAACGACAATTTATCTATCGCAGCATATATATATATATATATATATATATATATATATATATAGAGAGAGAGAGAGAGAGAGAGAGAGAGAGAGAATATATAAAAGTGTGAGAGAATTGTGGAGAGTGTTTAAAGTTGAATTTTTCTTGTAAAGTTTGTGATTGTTTTAATTATTTCACAAGTATGGCGATAAAGCCACTAAGACGCAAGAAGTTACTGAGGATGAAAGACAGTAGAGTGTAGGAAATTGATTAAACGCTACTGGTGAGAAATGACAATAAAAATAACAGAATCAAGGCAACATAATATGACAACTGACGTTACATTTACATTTTTGAAGATCGTAGTAGAGCGGAAAGCAAGAAGTCATCCATCTCATTTTTCTTAAACAGGGAAATTAATATCAACCGGCCTAGATCAAGAAGTCTTACTAGAAAAAAATATGTCTACCGAGAGGAATATAACCTAAATCCTGTTTTGCTAAACACACCTATAGCCGAAACTTGTCGCTACTAATTTGACCTTGGGTTGTCATCATGGTGAACCTATTTAAAGAATGCATCTCTCATTAAGACTCCTTCGAATAAATGTCTGAAATTTAAATACAGTAATTTTAAATGTTTTTTTTTATGTATCCAATAGTATTTCCTATTACTATAGACGTTTCATTGAGTGAGTGAATATTTTTGAGTTAATATACCTATTTTTTATCTTCATAAACAATGAAATTAATATCGACCAGCCAAAATCGAGAAGTCCTACTAAAAAAATAATGTCGAACTTCTCGATCTAGGCCGGTTGATATTAATTCCACTCTACATTATCACTGTGTCTCTGTTGCCGCTAACCACAGACGCGCTCTGCAGTGGCACTTAAAACAATAAATACTTTTAAAAGCTGTATTACAGTGCTGACAGAAAAGTTAATTTTTGCTGTTTTGGCATCTGTGCTTAGCCTGTGTTTTCAGGATTTATACGTACCTTCCGATGCCCGGTGAGACCAGACTTGTTCCTTCACTGTTTATGACGCGGGGTACCAATCAATACCTCCTGCTGACGTAACTTTTCTATTCAATCTAATGTCCTTGTGCATGACAACGAACGTGGCGTTTCAGCCCTGCATGTGATAAGCAAATACAGCCAAGTTCTTCACAAATCCATTGAGTCACTGATGCATTCTTCAATATGGAGGCCAACTCCAAAAGGTAGTGTCTGTCTCCACTCTTTACACTTTTGTATATTTTTCTCCCATGGCTCCCCACACGAACCAAATAGAGAGAGAGTCCGATAATATATATATATATATATATATATCCAAATGAGAGAAATTTGAATATATATGTTCCACTGTTCGTAGCAATATACTGTTATAAGTAGAGCAATATACTGTTTTTATTATAACAGATTATAATAAAAAATATTATATTATAATTTATTATAATCTCTTAAATAAAATAATATATATATATATATATATATATATATATATATATATATATATATAGTAAAAATGTGTGTAGTAATCCATATGGATAATTCCTGGAGGATATAATCTAGAGAGCTGAATGTAAAAACAAAGCATATATATATATATATATATATATATATATATTATGAATGAACGAATATTTTCAGTGAAAATTTCTCAGACATTCAGGCCGGTAAATGTTGTTTAATACTGTTTATTATAAACAGAGCATTTACTTAAATATTTGTACCTATAAAAAGAATGTTAAACATAAAATGTCTTTATATATATATATATATATATATATATATATATATATATATATGTTAGAACAGGAAATGAGAGGAATAATAAAAAAGACCAAAGTTGTTAAGAGCTACAAAGGATAGAATGTTATGGAGAGTTATGATCGTCCACGTCTTGAACAGACACAGCAAATGGAATCAAAATATTAAAATAAAAATGGCATAAGCATACATGTAAATAAGTATTTCACGGTTAAACCGGTCTAATCGATTTATGAATCTATGTACTGTACTAGAATGGTGGCAAGGTTTCATCGTTTTACGACCGAAATGGCTTGATGTAACCGTAAGTTCTATATTAACATTTTCTTCTCTCGTGCTTCTCGCTTATGGAACTCTCTTCCAGCTTCTTACTTCCCAGTTAATTTTGATCTTCAAAAGTTTAAATAACATATATACGGGACCACGACTAAAATTGAAATTTATTACTAAATATCCTTTTCGTTAATTTTAGGGTTTTTTTTGTTTTTTTTGTTTCACACTTGCTCTTTAACTATTTCTCTTTTCACAATAAAATTTAAATTAACCTACTTTTGCTAGTATGATTTTCAGTGTATACTTATATAAGCAATATATCGTCTGCGTTTCACCTTATTAAAAATATTCATAGTAATTTGCCTCGAGGTGTTACGTTTTATTATACAAAGTGCAATATATATGTTGCTTGTAAATAAATCTAAAATCAACAGCTCACAAAATTTTTGCTTTTCTTCCCTCTGTTTTTCTAATCCTTGCTCTTCTTCCCGATATTTCACTCATCCTTGCTCTTCTTCCCTTTGATGTTCTTATTCTTCCTCTTCTTCTCTATTTATTTTCATATCCTTGCTCTTCTTCCCTATTTTTTTTAACCTTACTCTTCTTCCCTATATTTTACACATCCTTGCTTTTCTTCCCCTTGATTTTCTTATTCTTACTCTTCTTCGCTATTTATTTTCATATCTTTGCTCTTCTTTCATATTTTTCTTATCCTTGTTCTTCTTCCCTATTTTTCTTATTGTTGCTGTTCTTCCATTTTTCTTTTCTTATCCTTGCTCTTCTTCCCTATATTTTACTCATCCTTGCTCTTCTTCCCTATATTTTACTCATCCTTGCTCTTCTTCCCTATTTTTCATATATTTCTATATATTATGTGAAGATATAGTTCGTTGAAATGTCCGTTTTTTAAGCCATAGTATTATATTTATATTATTCTTCTGTCAAGAAGTACTTTTTCCTAATAAATACCATTAAATTTAAAAGTTCTATGCCCTATGAAAGAACTCTTAGAAAAGGTAATAATGGAAAACAAGAGGAAGCGACTATTAACTATAAGAAGAGAGAATGCGTGATTATTAGTCAGTCAAACGTGTTATCTATTGAAAGCGTCGCAACCATGAAGTTACAGAAATTTAACTTTTCGGACTCAGGTCGAAGTATATATCATTTCCGTTTTGTTTATCAAATTTATTATTAAAAATATTACATTAAAAATAAAAAAATGAATATTACATATATTCGTTGCCACATACCATGTAGCATTTTGATAACTTTTAATTAAAATTCTGCTGATTTTAATGATAACATGTTTTCCACAGATTCTTGGATATGATTTTCATTAGAAACAGTTTTCCTTCTTAAATCGTTTTGCTGTGTTCGAGAAAAGTTGCTGCAAGGCCATGTGAGTGTGACGGGAGACATACCAGTCGAGTTCCCAATTATTTTCTTGTGTCATCCTTGCTGTAAGTGTGCTTGCGTTGTCATGGAGAAGAACATTTTCCCTCTGTCTGAGATGAGGTCTTGTAACTATTTACATTACTCGGACATTACACGGACTGTTGTCCTCATGTTTATTGTCATATTCGCAACATATCGGCCGTTGTATGCTCAGACCTTCTTCAGGGTCTGTCAATATATCTGAGATAAGGTATTGCAACTATTCACATTGCTCGGATTGTTGTGCTCATTTTTATTGTCATATTCACGACATTTCGGCCGTTGTAAGCTCAGGCCTTCTTCAGGGTCTATCGATATATATGAGATGATGTATTGTAACTATTTACATTGCTCGGACTGTTGTCCTCATCTTTATTGTCATATTCACGACGTTTTCAACGGTGTATTGAAATTTCGAACCCACAGAAGCACATTGTTCTAGTTCCACATGCCATGTCATTTTTATCTCTGTTTCAGTTAATTCTCTTTAGTAACTCAACTCTCCAAGTTTTTGGTCACCTCTAGGGTGTTGAACTCACAGCTCAAGTCCCTTGATTACTTCAAACAACGCTTTATCCACTGAGCCATGTGTCCTTAGGAACAATCTACCCTCGTGGACTAAATAGAGGGTTCGTTTCGAAAATTCAATGTATATCACCTGAACATCGGAGCGTACAACGGTCGAAACGTTGTTAATATGACACTAAAGATGAGGACAACAGACCGAACAATGTAAATAGTGTAAACATTTTTTCCTATTAAGGAACGCAGGGCGCTTCTCGACCAAATATTTATGGACATGTTACAGCTGCTGGATTTATAAATGTGCATGTAGTGCTTCATTGCTTTTTAAGAAGCCTCAATAAATAATAACCCTACATTAATTTTCTTCTACGGAGTTCAGTTTTAGGGGTTGGTTTTGAAGATTTGTCCTTGTTAATCCACTGCCTCTTGCATTGAACATTGTTGTATGGTAGAGGGTTCCAAATCTGTTCTAAACTACCATGGATGATTAATAGTGTTGTGGATTCCGGGTTGAAATCCGGTACCAATAAATAACAAACGCCAAGAATGAATATAGGCAAATAATGTATTAACGTAATAATACAAACTGGTAAAGCAGGTTAGTAATTCCAGGAATACGGGTTAGTAGCAAAATATATATATACAGTCTTTGGTATTGAAGTATCGCTGTATGACTTCTTACTGAGTCTACATGCTCGCTCACTGTGACTTCTACAACGCTGTTACCTCACCCACACTCTTCCGGTTACTTACAACCTTTTACTCGGTCACTCTGGACTCGACTCTTCGGTCTTGCTCTCGTCTTACTCTCGTCTTACTCTCGGGTCTTCCCGTAGTCGTAGTATATGTACACACTGGGTGAGTCCATTTGTATTATTAGTATGGTGTATCTGCCACACCAAGGTTTACTTACTATTCTGTGTTAGGAAGAATAATGTTTTAGCCTTCCAGTAGCACACCGATACTAATATTAGCATTAGTGTAGCCATTGATACACTAACACTGAATACGAATATAGAAAGACGAAATACGCGAGCGTAACAAACAAAATATTTAATATGGCAAACAACTTACGTACATAAATTCAAAAGATTCACATATGTCCCAAAACAAATGATTGTCCATTTTGTCCCAAAGGAACGAGGAGGTTTACAGAATTAGAACAAAGAAATAACATACCAACTTTATGGCCTTTGGTCGTCCGCAGATAAGTGAACAGAAAGTACGTTTTTCTTTCGCTAGGTCGTGCACATGTTGACCAGTTTCCACGTATGTGGACACCCAGAACGGAAGTAACGACAAAAAGAAGAGAAGAGTTCTACTCTCTAAAAGGGGCCAAAACTCTCATGAGCTAAACCCAAGGGAAAGCAACTGTGGTCTCCCTACAGTATAAAGATGGGTGGATCCCTTAACAAATAGTTAAGATGATATTTTTGTCCTTACAAATGATTCGCAAAAACAAAAATTCTTCTTCTTCTGTGTGCCGTGTCTCTTCACGATGTTGGTGATCATGGCTCTCCACAATTTCCCGTACATTTTAGCTCTTGATATATTTTGTCTTTTTGCTATCTATCCTAAACTCTGTTCTGCCATCCATTTATATGGTAGATAATGCGTTGTGTTCCTCTGTCCATGTTGTCTTCAGTCTGTCCTGTTAGTGGAAATGGATGGTAGAATATATAATTGTGTTCAAAATATTTATATTTCAGCATTAAATAACCCAGAGAGGTTTATATGCCGCTAAACACAAACAACCAAGCAATAACACGAGTTTTCGGCAGAGCAAGAGCCGCAGTTTTTTTTTTAATGACAGGATACAATATTTTCAAATGGGAGGATTTAAGAACTAGAGACTCCTATAACCGTGACAAAACGATGCAGAACACCAAACACATTCTGCGAAACTACTCTCGCTTGATCGAACCCACACTGACTTGCTGAACAACAAATGCACAAATAAAATTGAGTTATCTGTCTGTGTTACGTGACAGGCTATAAATAAACCTGATCCATGAATTAAATTCCCTGCTAGATGACAGTAAAACTTTTAACCAACACCTACATCAACTACCCCACCACACCCGCAATTGTATATTAAACTAATCGATTTCGCTTTCATTTAAAACTATATCTTTCTTTATTTTTAAAAACTAGTGACTTCATTTTCTCCATATATTGTGACTATTTTACTTAAAGTACATATCTTTTTGACTTCAAATGAAAACTTGGAAATTTTCAAACATATTTCAGTCAATTTTTCATTTTGCAAGATTATAGTTGTAATTATAATTTAAATATATAGGAAAAATAGAATGTCAATTTAAGATGACACCAGTAATATATGGAGCAAACTTTTTTCTATATATTGTAACCATTCTTCTTTTTTTTTCTACTATGTGCCGTGGGTGATCATGTATCTCCACAGTTTCTTGTCCTTTGTAACTCCTAAACCCTGTTCTACCATCCATTTACACAAGCTCGTTAGGTAGATCATACACTGCTTCCTCTGTTCCTCTTGTCTTTAATATGTCCTGTGAATGTCAAATTTTCCTAACCGTATTTCCTCATTATGTACCCTAGCAATTTCAACTATTTCCGATGCTAAATACAAGTGTCCTTTTTTGTTTCCATTTTCTTTAAAACTTCATCGTTTCACACATGCTGGGTCCATGGTATTCTCAGCATTTTGTTTAGCGTTTGTATTTTCTTGATTTCAGATGAAAACTAGGAAATGTTTCAAGATGATATGTTAGGGAAATGCCCGATTTTTAGTTTATAATCATAGTTTAGATGCATAGTGTTCGGGCTCAATTTGTCAAAATTTATTTTTTATTTTTTTTTTTTTTCAAATTGGTTTGTAATATCTGTAAACAGTGAACGCCATTGTGAAACCTAATCACTAGTTTTATAGGTGTCAAAGTTAATTGACATGGACGAGTGGAAGACACCTGAATTTTGAGAAAGGGTAACCTGCATCATGATGAGTCACGCCGGGCATCAAAATACCGTAATCATGGCAGCTGCTCAATGCTCGCTGAACACCACGGGCTGCAACGGTAGACTACAAGGCCGTGTCTTGTAGCAAAGTACTCGGCGACGCGTTATGATTGCCTCCGTACACTAGAAGTCATCCAGTAACTGCAGGAGAAAGTGATGGAAAATCTAGCAGCAAGATTGATGTAATGAATATGCATACACCTGGGTTCCCTCTCACAGTAATATGATTGGCTGGTGTCAGCCATAAATACAAACTGATGTGGAGGTACAGGACGACGCCTATTGACGACGCCTATTGGCTACGCCTATTGCCTACACCTGTTGCCTACACCTGTTGCCTACCACTACAACGAGGACCAGTCTGTTATGGTTACCTGCTAGATTGTCCTACTCGGTTACAGTAGTGTTGTAGAGTAGTTTTCACAGTGGAGGCTTGTATTTCACTAAGTCGGTCCTAAAAGGGTTTCGTCGTACAAAACGTTAGGAACTAATAATAATAGTTAATGACGCAGCAATCTAGTTGTGGTGGTTGATACTTCAATGCCCGACATCGACTGACTCACTCAACTCCACTGAGCCCACTGGCGACTGCTACTACTACTACTTATTATCTGTGGGAGAGTCTATTAACAATAGAATGGGTATGTTCCGGTATAACAAGTAGTCTAAAACCACTTTGCTACTTCGAACAAATATATCCCTTTCCGGGGCATTTTTTAAGACTCCCCCAACCCCAACGTCTGGCACCCTAACTCCTCAATGAATTATGTGTGGGGCTCAGTTGAAAA